CACTGATTTTCGCAGAAAAGAACGGTCTCTTTCGATTTTGATGCTGACGTTTTTTTTGTTGTTGTTGAAATTATTGATTACATAATGGCCCAGTAAAAATTAAAGCGAACAGCAACTGTACAGTCTAACAACAAAGAATGTAAAAAAAGGTTTTCTTCGAAAAAAGTGTACATGATTTTAATATCGAGCATTAAATGTTGGCCGATGAGTCATCATCATGACATCAAAGCAGATAGAATATGCCAAAGTCAAGCATCTCTTGCAGGCGAATTATCGAGCATGCAATGGTTTGTGGTACAATGTTAATGATAACAGCTCATTACATTGCGGCAATAAGCATTCAAGTGCAGCGTACGTAGAAAATGCAATGAGAACAAAAACAACAGAAGTAGTCCGGTGCAAAAGAATAAAACATGAAAATTTTGATTTTGAGGCACATTTTGTTGATTTTTGAACACCGATTTTTATTTCACATTAATGTACAAATACGACCTTTATTATAATACGACATACATTTCATATGGAAGAACGGTTTAATAGTAAAGTTCCAATTTGTGCAAAAAAACAAGTGGAAAAATGAATTCTGTCCACCCTATCTCATCGAACAAGCTATAAATTCATAATAGTTGTCTATAAAATTACATGCCGACGCTTAAAGATTATGATAGCAAAGGACCAAAGGAAAAATTATAATCAATTGAAACGCTTGATAAAATACAGTGCACGATGGATTCTCCGATGTAATACACAATAAATACGTACGGATCATGCATTCACCGCAATGTAGAAAAATCAGTAAATAACCGCAGGTTCTTACATTGCATTCAGTTTATGAAATTTTATGTATACTGCGATTACTTTTATGGAAGAATCTCTACGATTTTTAATTATGTTGAACTTTTTTTCAGTATAAACTGGCGACAATTTCGAATTGAAGTCCGTTTTGAAAGAAAAAACAACAACTGAAACAAATATTCTATTTTTATGGAGTCGCTTTTTGCATCACCAAACACACAGGAAATGAAGCAAGTCATTAGGCAAGCTAAATGAGTGAGTAAAAAAATTGGAAAGATATTGATTAAAATTAGCAATAAAAATTGATATGCCGTTTGCGTATTTACTTTAGTGACGATGTGAAAAGGGTTAAAATGTGCAAAACACATCAGAATATTCTCGACATTTCTTCGATTCCACTCTTAAAATCGAATTCGCAATAGCATGTTTTCTATAAATTAAATATCAATCGCAATTGGACTTGCTTAAGTGGATATGCTTGATTATGTTATGGTCAATATTGTATTTCGTTTCTCATAGGCATCGAAACGCTTCAGTAGACATAAGCATCACGAGAAACCCGAACAAAAATCGTTGGAAGTGAACCGAAATATGAAACATTGAATTTATCACTTGCGTTATGAATATGAAATTGGTTTTTGTTGTTTATTGGCTGCTTATATGCGGAGAATTCTGAAAATATCCTTTTCGCCGTAAAAACAATACGATTCTCTCTGTACATGGGTATTAATTTCGTGTACGCTGTGTTAAAACAATGTTATCCGACTTATATGTACTATATTGATGCACGGCTACTTACATCTCCGCGGCAGCGACTGATGAGAACAAATACACGTAGAGAAAACAAAAGAATATATATATCAAAACGGGTTAAGAATAAAACGAAAGAGTTATTGCTTATTGGCTTATAACTCTTTGGTATTCCGTAAATGAGGTCGGAATGTTCTTTCAGCTGTGGTTATTGAATGGCGCACTAGTTACCATATACAGATATGACTGTTGCGGCTATTGATGATAATTTTATTTTCTTTGATGACATTTCAATTTGGCTGATCACAAAACATAACAGAAACAATCGAATTTCGATGATTCGCATTGCCCTTAATGCAATTTGATGTGTGGGCAAGTAATTTAATATGCGTCACATATATTCGATTTTTAGCTTGCGGCTAGAAATTCATTAGTCCAACTCCCACTCATTACGGCGAACGAATTTTCTTCGATGAACGTGAATTTCGTCACGTGAATCCAGTAGTTGTGGCTTAAACGCAAAGACGATTTTGTTATTGTTGTTTTTATTGATTCAAAGCTTCTGTTCAGCACGCATTGGTTTTTTTTTTATATGGCTAATCGTCCAATTTGCCGCGATAGTGATTTCCTCTCCTTCGGTCGTTGTTATTTTTTTAATATTATAAATATTGCAATTAAAATTATTATTGAAGTATACGATTTGCTGGGAAAATGTCACGACAATCACATGGTGGCGTTGAATAAATTATTATTATGCATTTTTGTTGTTGACTACACGAGCACGGTAGTTTGAGTTTATTCGTGTCGATTTTCAATCGACCGTAAAATGTCACGATTTTTTTTTATTCACACTAAATTGCTACTGCATTTCATTTGACCGTATGAACAAAGAAACTGCATAGAAGACTCATGAACACGTCTATGAATTGCCAAACAAATTCTAAACGAGCAATGAAAATCATTAGAGGAATGCTTTTTTCTTCCTCTAATTAAACCGGTTGAATCTTCAGCAATAGAGACGAAAATATGCCATCGTCGTCGCGATTCAACTGCTCAAATTATGAATTATTTAGCAGCAAATTGCCAATAACACACTTATTTTGAGTTGCATTTTTTCACCCACCATTCAGTAATTACACTTACAAAATTATTATTTTTTCTGCCGCACAACAGTAATTGGAAGGAGGGCAAAATAAATTCTAGCACAATTTTCATGCGAAATAGTCGCATGGCAATTTGATTCAATTGTTTTTCTCATCATGCATTGTTTACAGTTATAATCGGTCGACCAGCCACCACTACCATCACCACCACCGCCGTAACAACAATTGCAACAACAAAAGACAAATTGAATGCGACCAAAACAAATTGTTCGTACGAATGACAATTCACAATGGTGTTCAGCATTGAGCGCACAATTATTGTAAGACGGGCGGAATAAGAGCAAAGCAATTATAATTTTAAATAAAGCAATGTCCGCGTGACGTCCATGCCGCCTATTTGCCCATGCCTATGAAATTTTAATTAGGATTTCAGTCGTTTGTCTAAACAAACAGTCTGTCATTATGAAATATGCAGCGGATAAAATGCATCGCGCAGTGCCATAACCGACTTATCGATTAATTCTTGCTATTGTAAGAGCGATTGGACGAATCGATGTGCTTGTTTTTTATTTTTTACCGACATGAAATATTTTACCTTTTATTATAAAACATTGTTTTTGTTTACATTGATGGCGACTAATAAAATTTGAAATGCAAATCTGCGGCCGCGGAAAATGTATTTATCGTATGAAAAATGCAACTATTCCAATATTTTGGACAACATGCTTAGCTAACTAATTTTCAACGGAAATTCATGTTAATCATGTAAATTTTGGAATATTTGAATATGTGAAAATACAGTACATGCTCGATGATCATTTCATTTCGAATTTTCAATGAACTAGACCCCATTAACCAATGTGCATTTACATCAGACATGCCCAACCATTTTTAAATGTTCAATTTTCTGTTTCACTCACCAATTCCAAATGGTTACATTAAGCTTCTTTGGATTTTGGACTTTTTTTTTGTTATTTCAAAGCAAAGTTCATTTATGTGCTGATTTATGAAGATTTTAAATTCCGGGGCGTTTTTGTTTTTCACATAAATGGCAATGAATTGGGCTATACTGTGTGCAATGCACAAAAAATTCGGATCTAATGGAAAAATCCGGGTGGAATAGCTGATACGACAAAATAATTTAATGCGTTCATATAAATTTTCTCCAAAGCTAATCAGCTTTTATTGCAAAAACAGAAAAATTGTGCACCGACACACAAATGCTTACATACACTGTAAATGGAAACTGCATTTCATTTTGTCAGGTGATTTATGTTATCCTTCGGAAAAGCGTCCATTTGTTATCGGACGTATGAGTTTTTGTGCATTTAAGCATTTTTAAGGAATTTCTTGTGCCAAAAATACCGTTGTATGGTTAAGTTTTTTTTAAAGCGCAATACGTTTAGATAATGCCATTTCATTCTATTTGACAAGTTACAATGTGCAAATGTTCAATGGTAACACTTCAACAAATTCAACTCGCACATGTTACGCTCCATTCGAATAAGTTCAACATTTTCGCTTGCATTAGGTGTCTATCTGAAGGGTTTCCGTTTGCATGTGTCAGTCTCATTTTTGATTCTTTGATTTGATTATGTGTTACTGGGAAACAAACTCCGTTTTTGCCCGTGTAATATCAGTCTAATCGTTTAACCATTTCATGATTGTTTTAGCACCAGTATTTAATGGTGGTAAATAAATTGTGGCGCCTTTGGACTTTTCGCATTTTTCCGCCCAATGGAACACTTTTACTATATCTTTTTCTTTCGTTTAGTCGAAAAACAATTTGAGGCTCACACCATCAAGTGTGTTACAATGATTAAGTTCAGAACGCACACATCACGTTTCGTCGTATTAATAAAGACGGTTATTTTGAATGTGTATTCACAAAAATTGGATGAATATTATAGACTATTACCGATTCGGACATACACTGCATTTTTATCAATCAAAATATGATGTGTCATCATTGCAATGTCTTAGTTCAAATTCGATGCTTACTCATACAGTCCATTCATATTCAATCTGCATTAGATTTGCGTAAATTATATTATTTATATTTCTTCTTCTCCGCATCAGATTTTGGAGTGTGCATTTCTTTCATTGTTCGTTTCAATCGTTTCAATTGAAATAATAGAGTTAGTATGAGGAGCATAAATGATCGTAATAGACATTTATTGTGACATCCGCACATATAACAATACAAACAGCAAGTCTCGTGTATTCGCTTTCAATTTGTTTCATTTATAGTCAAGTCTGATAATTTTCCATAATCAACGCGAAAGATGACTGAGTTAAAAAAACGATACGACAGAAGTTAAGAGACAAGAAACGGATCAGTTTATCAACGACTGTCACCAAGTGAAGATTATTGTTCTTTTAGTCACATCAAAATTATTTTTATTTTTTGTTCTTTATTTGGTTTTTCAGTTGGAATTTTCTCAATAATGAAATGTTATTTATTATTATTCATCAATATTTTTATCGTTATACAAGTTATAAGTTGCATGGAAGATGGTGGCAGCGATCCCAATCGAAGAGGTAAAATTTGAAAAACCATACATTGCAAATCTGTATTCATAAAGCGCGTATATTGCATCGCAAAATATTTGCTTTGAATGGACTAATCAAGAGATGAATTGTTGTTCATTCTATTTTTACTCAGTAATTTGAATTTTATCAAGTTAATTTCATCAATAGCGTTGGATATTTATGTTACGCCACAAAATTTTTGCAACACGAATCAATAAGTTGATTAAAATGATGCATTTTAAAATAGGTAATAAACCGATTTGGAATGAAACATACGCGGATGCTTTGAAACGTGACCTTCTAATGTCGTACGACAAATTTGCAAGACCACAAAATCATGCCACAAAGGTGGCAATTGGCATGACAATCAAACATGTGGACTTTGATGAGGCAACATCGATTTTCACGGTTTATGCATGGTTTGTTATGGTAAATAATTGAAATGTCCGATTCAGACAAAAATTGACGTGCCTCTCATATTATCGTTTCTCATTCTTTAGAATTGGAACGATGACAAACTCAAATGGAATAAAAGTCAATATGGAAATTTGAGCAAGTAAAATATCTCTTTGATTCTTTATTCAACATTTTTAGGAGTTTCATTTAAATTACATTCTTTTTTCTATCATTTTAAATTTTAGACTCGGGTTGGCGCAACATGAGGTACTTTTTTACTGGCAGACAATATGAATGAAGAAAAAATGAACTAACTCACTTAATGCGATTAAATTTATTTAAAATATTTTTTTTTCTTTATTGTGACCTCAAGATTTGGCAACCGGATGTGACTCTGTATAATTCTATTTCACCGAACTTTGACTTATATGGAACGGCCCATTTTATAGTTGAACCCGATGGAAAAGTGAAGAATTACTAATATTTCGTGATTTTTTCTTCTTAAATGCATATCTTTTGTATAATTTTGTTTAATGAAGGTTCTTTGGGTGCCACCCGCTATATTCAAAGTACTTTGTGATTCAAATCTGCGCAATTGGCCATTTGATTCGCATCAATGCACTTTAATATTTGGATCATGGATCTATGATGGACGTGAAATTGAATTGGAACGAAAAGAATCAAACGGATCACTTCTTGAACTTTATGTGGAAAATACTGAATGGGAAATAACGAGTATTCAAGTTGGGCGAACGGTTAAATTTTATCAATGTTGTCCAGAACCGTATATGGATATACAGTATAATATTACAATAGCTCGACGTTCATCTATTTTCCAAAGTGTTATCTTGGCACCGGGATTTATCGTAATTATACTTACCTTACTTACATTTTGGCTACCGGCTCAGTACGGCGAGAAAATCCTTTTGAATGGTATCGTCGCTTTGATAATTGTTCTATTCTTACTGTATATTTCCCAAAACTTAAATATAATGGCTTCACATACGCCGCTCATCGGTACGTATTTTATACAGTAAATTGTTATTTATACAGCCGACAATACATGTCAAGTAGTAATTAATTGCGAAAACATCTCCGAACTTTTCTTGGTTTAATATTTAATCGGTATTTTTTCTTAGTTTTGTTCTACAATCACGCGCTGTATATGGTGTGCTTTTCAACGCTGATTTCAGTTATTGTGATAAATTTAACGCGATTGAAGCATCAACGAATTCTACCATGGATTATTAAGAAGCATTTGGATGGAAAGTTTGGCAGTATTTTATTTTTGGATCACATTAACGATACGGAGGTTTTTATTTACATATACTTTCTTAAACATCATTGTATAATTACTTAAAATTGCGTGTTGGGATATTTTACGACTGATTTTTATTTCAGAGTGATCAAAATGCGTCTAGATTCCGAGAGCACCCATTCGACGAACCTTCAGCCAATGATGATCAACAATTTATTCAACAGTGTCGCAGTGGAAATAGTTCATTGAAAAGGGATTACTTGAAATTAGCGGCTGCTATTGATAGAATTGGATTCATCCTTTATCTGTTTATATTTATAATATTTTCTATTGCATACTCAGTTTAATTTCTTTTTTGGTCATCGAACAAACAAAATTAAAACATTAAAAAATGATCAAATCTAAAATTATATACTCTTTTTAAAATCGTCAAACATATTTCTAAATCTCGTCATGAATAATGTGAATTTATAATTTAAAACTCAAACTTTAGCGTATCTATTTTATGCACACATCGAAGCATATTTTCGTATATTTTCAATCAGCCAAAGAATAAAATTGGTTTTCGTACCCACATATGTACATTGTTTCAGTGCTTAAAGTATATATGCGCTGTCACTTTGCCGATAAGCATAGTATTATTATTTTGAGAAACACGCTGTAAAATTTGTTTAAAAAAGTGGTAATGTTGGAAAAAGTTTTATTGTAAATTCAACAGTGATACGTTGTTTTCGTTTCTTATCATTGTCTGTGGATCGTATTGGAAAAACGAATGAATGGGTTGTTCCACTGATGAAGATACACACAATACACACATTCTTCTTTTCATTCCCTCTTTTTTTTCCAATTTTCACACATCTAATGTGTTTTCCTTGCTGCATTCTATATTTTACAACCGACTCGACCCAATGGAAATTGCATTGGTTCGTTGCTATATGGTTTTGATGCAGATTTTATGTACGCAATGAAAGCATATGGTGCATTTATTCGGTCCGTTCGTTTATGGTTCTTTGCACATTTTCAATCAAAAGTTAATTTTGCCACTACGAAGTCACCTAACTATACGATTCACGGCGGTGAATCGAGAACGGAACTTGTTCGGCTCCATTTGTGAAAAGTAGATGGGATGTTTTGTGTGGCGTAGTGAATATTTGTATTTGTACATGGTGTGTGTATTATCGCGCTTCTCTAGAAAAGTTCTCTCCTTAAATTAGAAAACAAAAAATATATATATACATGTACATTGCGGCACAACAAATCCTATTATCGTAAATCGTTGTCGGATGCATAACTTTAATAATGGCTAGTGAGAATTGCGAATTCAATGCATTGCGTACTGTATTCCTCTTCATCCGATATGGCTGGTATCCAGTCACATATACACGTACAAAAATGTGCACCATTGCACCATGGAAGTGCCTTGGCTTTTATTGCTTTTTGTTTTGCTGTTGTTAGATTTGCAATCTATTAAATGCAAGCCACATACACGCAATTCATACAAACATATAGCTGAGAACCGTATGCGCTTTACGGTCGGAAAACTTTTCAACTTCACACACACACGCATGCACACAGACACAGACAGGGCCAATGCAGTTCTCATTCTTCCCTGTAATTTTTTTCTCTCTCTCTCTCAATGTTGAGACAAATTGCAAAACATTCCAACGTCAAATGAAGCCAATATGTGCCCGCTTATCTTGTACATCGTATACGAATGGATATGTTTTTGTTGGATGGTTTTACACTTACATGTGGCTGTACAATACGATGACTTAAATACGCTATTGTTTAGCCATGGTTCGACTTTGGTTATTCGGTTTGGACTTTACATTGATATTTAACCACTGCGGCAAGTGCATCTCGTTTGTATATTTCAATGCGTATTCGTTTACATTCTCTCATGGGTTTATCATGTACTCAGATCATTTTCAATGCAACCGATCGCATTTCATAGCCCAATGCAACACCGAACATGAGAAATTGTAGCTCGTGCATGCGGTTTTTATTGTTCTTATGTCATAGAGATGGGGTTGAGTCGCATTGAAACGTTTTTATTATTGTGTGGCCAGTTTTGAGATATCTCTTGCACACACATCCTTATTCGAACCAACATCGACAAATTGAAATTCAAGTCAAATCCTCCACTTTCATTTCGATTCGCTCAACTGTTACCATTTTATTAGCTTCAAGCCATTTTGCAAGGTTTCTCTTTTGTACTCACACAGTTTCGTGACCCGGAGGTCTGCGGTGACAGGATTTCAATATTTTCTATATGATTTTGTTTTGATATTTTCCAGTGGAAATCATCAATTCGAATCACTTTTCGCATTGCTGGAGCATTTTTTTTTCTTCAAATTTTACAAAGGCGGAGCGCATTGAAATAATCACGTAAAAACAATAAAATTCAGAGTGAAATCAACAGAAATTGAAACAAAATAAAAATAAAATGGATGACATATAGAAGCCGACTCCACCTACTTCCGAGTCAGATTGTTTGAAAGACAAAACTGCAACATTTTTGGTTTTTAGATAAATATACCAATCGATTCGTGTGGTACACAGACGTTAGAAGACCGAAAAATAAACGCTATATTTGATTCCACCATCCGACCGATTGTTTGCGTCCCTCATACGAAAGTAACGCGAGCTAAAAAAGTGAGTAAAACACAATCGAATAAATAAAACCAATTTCGATGTTCTTTTCAATTTATTTTTGACACTTTATTCAATAATAATAATAATAATTCTTTGATACTTAAAATGTTACTTGTAAATTGGATGCAGTAATTAGATACCGTTTATTTTCACTAAATTTGTTTTTTATATAAAGATAGACGATAAAAGTAGCATTTAAATGTATTTTAACGATAATAACTGATTGATGAAAATTGTTTTTTTTTATGTTTTCATTTAATTTAATTTATTTTAAATAAACTCTAATTCGTAAACCATCTATTCTGCTTAACTATTACACAAACAAACAAAACAAAAACTCGTCATTATATACTGTCGATGGTTATTTCTGTTTGTTCCTTTATGTCCCTTTCGGTATCCATTTAAAAGTAAATCGATAAATTTCGATGCAAAATTGAAAGCTTCTTATTCAATTATTATTTAGCCAAGGAAATGTTGAGCAAAAATGAAATTGGATTTGTTTCTTTTTGCAGACGTGCAAAAAGTCGTTCAGTAAGCATTTTCAGATTTTCGGTTATGGTTATGTATTGCTATTTTGTAATTGTGCTAAGTACATCATTGTTTATCTATTTTAAAAGTAAATCTAATCATTTGCTGAATAAATGTTTCTATGTTTAATTGTCAAAGTCAGCATTTCTCTCTGCCCGGAATTATGAATTTGGACTAAAGTCGAGAATGATCTCAAAAATGGTATGTGTATGTGTTTGTGTGTTGGTGAAATTTTGAATTTGGACCATAACATCCATTTCGTATACGTTATTATTGATTATATGATTGAATATAGAGAAGATAATTACCATGGATGTTTTTCATTTTTTTCAAATTTAATTATACTTATACATTTACTTATCACTTGATTCTCTTTGTGATACATTTGTGTATGTTCGTTATATGTATATTGAAGCTTTCCCATAGATTGATTTTATACATACTTGTTTTCGTTATTTCTGTCAGAGCTTAAAATAACAAAATACTGAAGTGGTGATGTCATATTGTATTTGTTGTTGGTTCATCAATTCAAATGTTGATTCGAGAAATCTTGCGAAAAAAGAGTCCGCAGAAAATCTCTCAAATCGATATTTGATTCGACACTTGGCCTAGCTTTTCGTTTCAACCATTAACATTACATTCAATATATTATTCACTTAATTTGTGTACAGTTGTACTTAAATTCAAAGGCTAAATTTAATATTATTTATATTACGATGTGTAAGTATCTCAAAGATTGCTAATACCGTCACGGTAAATTCCATTTCGAATGCATAAACGTCAAATAATCATATTTCTGTGTTAAACATTCATACTTTAATATCGTTTCGTTTCTAAAGGTTGTTTTTTTTCTACTTTGATAATCTTTCTTCGTTCGGTCGCGCTTTGCAGAGAAATGTGTTTATATTTTTTTCTATAATCTAATGTAAATATACATTCATTGAAATAATAGTTAAGAAGTTTTAAATTTGTTTGTTTTCTTTTCGTTCGATTTTGTTTTGTTCATGATTGCAATGCGTTTGCAAAACGACACATTTCATAGCTTTCACCTTTCAATCATCCAGTCTAAAATTAATAATGATCGCATTCGGTACGTGTATATAAGATTTAAGTTTTAACTCTTTTTTTGTTGTTTAAATCGAGAAGAAATTTGTAAATTTGAAGAAGTACTTTAATTAGCAAAGGTTCAGTGCATTTGTTCAAAATGTGCTTAAAAGTTATTCATGATGTGATATTTTGACTTGAACAGTGATGCATTCGATATTGATGATATTTATATATTTTAAATTTGTTAATTGTTTTATTGCACTTTTTTCCATCAGAATTTAAACTCTTTTTGCCTCTCATTGTCTCCGTGTTCTGTTTATTTTCTCAACTAAATTTTCTCATTCAAGAATTTCGAAATTTTATTTACCATCGAGAATACCTCATGTACGGGTGTTGATCGAATGGAGGTCACGAGAAACGGGCATCGATGTTGCGTGATTTTTCGTCGATTGGTGTGCGTCGCTCTTGTTCGCGTGGCGATGAACAAGCCAATGGTGAATTCGAATCAGACGATTGTCGACGCTGTGACAGAGATGAGAGACCGTTTAGTGGATGAGGTAGAAGATGTGGTGCAAACGATGAAAAATTTGGAAATCCAGCCAAACCACTCAGCGGTGGAAATAGAAATGGATTCGGTGCTTGATGTCCAGCAGCAGCAGCTGCGGCTGCAGCGGCTGGAAATCGTGAATCACCATTTAGAAAAGTGTTTGTTGCAGCTGCCGCAAATGGATGCATGTCGGGAAAGTTATTTTTCAATGCTTCCAAATTGAATGGTAATCGATGCGAATCGGCATACAATCGTGCCAAAAATTCGGTTTGCAATCGTGTCGCTGCTGAATTTGCCATTGAAGCGGCAGTGCTTTGGTTATGGTTATCTTCGTTGTGATTTTTCGATGATGTTGACGATGATGTCGACAAAAGTTTACGATGTAAATTCAAATTTGAACTGTGTCTATCACGACTTCGTTTCGATGGGAAAGCTGCATTGCATCCATCAATATCGCATTTGTGTAGCAATTTCAAATGCACTTGTTGATAATGTGCTTTTAAATTGAAATGATTTGGGAAGACTTCACCGCATTCCGCACATTTACGCGGATTTTCTTTGTCAATTGGCATTTCAATGTCACTTAAATCGTTCTCAAACTCTTCGACATTCTCATCCGAATCGTATACATGACGTGAACGTCGCTCTTCTGGCGAATACGATGGTGAACGGGCCGGACTCAATGGGGCCGAATTTAACATGAAATTCATCGATGAATTGAATAGATTCATTGGATTGGCCGGACCACCTTTTGCATATGGATTTTGATTTTTAAACAATGAATCGTACTGTTTCAATATCGAATGATGGCGTTCAGACTTTTTTACTTCGGGTTTTTTATCCGAATTTAATTCGTCGTTGTGTTTGTGATCGATTTCACTGTCATTCTTTGGTGAAAGTAATGCACTTGGCGGCCGCGTTAATTCCTTCTTAATTTTGTCGATTTTATTGTTATTTTCATTGATTAATGGAGTCTCATCTTCGCTGTCGATGTGCTTTTGTTTATTTGACAAATCCAATGTTAAATTTTGTGGTTCGGCGTCGTCTTTCGTTTCATTGTTTTCATCTGCTTTGATTTGGCCATTTTCTTCGATTTCTTTTTTACTCTCACTCTTGTGGTTTTCACGAATCGGTGGTGGAGTTATGCTTGGTGAACGTGACTCTTTGTCATCGACTCCATTGTCGGTGAGTTTTTTTGTTTCGTCCGAGCTTTCAGCATCGCTTCCATTAGAACGTAGTCGTTTCACCAGCGCCTTGGGCTCATCTTGTGCCACTGATTTTCGAACGTAGTTTATGTCATTTGAATCATTTTCATCGGACATACTATCGATGTGACTTGTGATTGGCACAGCAAATCGTATTGGATTTTGACTCTTTCGTTTGCGCTTATTTTTTGTATGCGAAATATTTGAATCGTCTTTGTTACTGTGTGAATCAGCCATACTGAGTGAATCGTCGTTGCTTTCAAAACCACTGTTCTCACCTTTAAAAGAAAAAAAAAAGGAAAACTGTATGAGCCACTGATCAAAATTTTAGAACGCCGTGGCTTAACCAATCTAATACAACTTAAACGGCCTTTGAATTTTTTTCTTCCTAATCGTTAAAACTACAACTTTTTCAACATATACACTAATATAATAATTTTTTGCTCGACGAAAAGGTATGTGTAAAAGTGAGTAATTCTTACCTTCAGATGGGCTTGGGATCTTCTTCCGTTTCGATACACTAAAATCAGTCGGTTCATCATATGCGCCATCGCCATGGTTTTCAACTGAATCATTGTCATAATCGTGTGTTTTGTTCATATCATCCGGATCTTCATCTTCTCCAACGACCACGATACCCTCTTCGTCATCATCGTCATCGAGATCGTCGTGTACGCTGCTACTTTCCGACATTGAATTTTTCAAATGATCTTCACTATACTTTTGATTTGATTTATAATCCATTCCGGCTAACGAGGGATGTCTTACATCTGGCGGTGGCGTTAGCAATGGGAACGGATTAAATGGATGCATACCAGGTGTTAATAAGCCTTGTGATTGCAACAGCATTGGATGTGGTTGAGCGCTTCTACCGTCGTGCGGTGATATTTTCCGTCGTAAATGTGGTGAATGTAATTTGGGATTTGGATTGGCGCTGTGACGATTCCGTGACCGTCGCGAACTGAACATCATCGAACATCCTTCAACTGTACACTTGTGCATTTCTCTCAAATGCACGGCCGAAAAGTGAATTTTCAGAGCACCTTTATCACAAAACGTTTTCAAACAAACGTTGCATTGAACACGTTTCTTTCCAGTGGCTGGATTTATGAATTGTGTGCCTAAATTTACTGGCATCGAGCCCCATTGACGTTTGGCCGGCGAATGTGATTTTCGTAACTGTGCAAGGTTCGATGGTGACTGACTCATGCCCATTGGTGTACGTTGTCGTGAATTATGTTGTGTTGTCATCGATTTTGGACTTCGATTACCTGAGTCACGGCTTAAATTCAACGCACTCGAATTTTGCTTCAAGTCATCGTGTCGTATTCGATCGCGTTGTTCATTTTTCGATTCTTTTCGTGCTTCTTGGTGTTGATGTTCCAAAAGACTTTTTGATTTGGCCAAATTAACTGCCGCCGAACTATTCATCAAGCTTGAAAATTGTGATGCCATCAAACTGGCGGCTAATGGATTCAGAGCATTTGGTTGTGGTGGCATTGGAAATGGTAAATGATGACCGGCCATTGCCATATTCATAAGACCGGCTGCATGATTTTGCAGGGCTGCTTTGTCATTTGCACTACCGGCCGATTCATTTAATTTCCGTCGGGCCGCCGCTTGGGCTGCAGCCACTTGTTGTAAATGATGACGTTCGATTCGTTCCATATCGGGGCTAAGTCGTCCGGATGCATTGCCCATTGATGGCGGTGGAAAGCCCGATAGACCGGCGCCAAGACAACGGAAATCGAACGGTTGCATATTTTGTAAGTGATTCAATGGGCTCGATGAACTAACTAATGATGCCATTGCGTTTGGCGAATGTCGACTATTATTTGTGCTTTCATTCGATCCCCTATTGTTGCCATTCGATGATGACGTTGAATTTTTAAAGAATTGATTCAAATGGTTTGGCGGCAAACCGGCTGCTAATTTTTGGTGCATTTGATTCGTCAACTGTAATTGCGAATGGGCAAATGAGCTCAAATGCATATTCATCGGATGTGATGCTAGTTGCGGTGGTGACGACCGTCGACTTGGTGACATAACCATTTGTTTTTGTAATGATAGAAGATTTGATATTGATTGATTTGCCCTTTGGAATTGTTCCGCTGACAATGCGTCTAGATGTCGGCCACTCATTTATTTTCGATGATTTTTCTTCAATACAAATTCAGAGGGGTGGTACAACATTGACGCTTCACTTGCATTGTACTTCACAACTGACACACATTCAAACCGATTCAATGATACACTTCGTCTGCAAAATATCTGCAATAAAAAAATGGAAGGAAATTAGTCATGCTATTTTGGATAAGAAATAGATTAATAAATTAAATGAAAAATCATTCTGTGCAAGAAAAGACTATAAAAAACATTATAGTTTGCGTCATTCCGCCGTAGTGGGTGAATCGATATCATATTGTTCAATAAGTAAATGTCAACGCATGAAAAACGGCAAATGTTCAATGAAAATCGGTTGACAAATCATGCAAACCCATCGAAAGTTCAGCGACAAAACAATCGATAACACAGACACAATGACATACGTAAAAAAATGAATAGCAGTTTCTTCTGAACCCATCCTAGGTCGATCGATTTGCTTTAAATTATACAGACATTTACTCAATATGACGCTACATAATGCTTTTGTATGTTGGAGTTTTGACTCAGTTTTCTTTTATTTCAACTTGTTTGCGCCTTGCTATTGTTGTAGTCAATGTCATTGAATGCGTGTCCATTATGGCAAAGAAAAAAGGAACATTGTCGTCGCATAGCTTACATTCTCTTTTCGTTTGTGCTTTGTTTCCGATATTGGAATGCCAAACGAAATAAAAACATTTCTCAAGTCGCAAATCGATATTCAAACTAAAATTATTGTTTATGCCATCACAAGTTTTGAGTTATGCGAAAATCAAATCAAAGTTAATTTAAACAAAAAGAATCGATGATATCTTTCAGTTGTTTGATTCGGTCAGTAAACAAGATTTGAGCTCTTTTCGACAGTTAAAAATTTACTGTAAGTTTTTTTTACAGCTAATAGAACAATCATGAAATCAACTACGACGATCCAAATTCTATTGACGCAATGACAAAGATAGAAACAACATTTGGTAAATTCTAGTTCAAATTCTATTCTTGTGAGTCTGAACGACTTTTTTGTAATAAAAAAATGTTGGCATAAAGGCCATGTGGTGTAAATAGCTCAAATGCTTGGTTAAATATTATTGGGTGCAATCGAATAACATCCAAATGTATTAATAACGATGTGAAACATAATTTCGACGGTGATTGATTTTTATTGTATTTTAAACAACTAAACTGATTCTGAGCCAAATGAAAAAGAAGAACATTTTCGGAAATAAAAAATGAACCCAACATTTCTATTATTGACTTTAGTGATGCTAAAACAGGGTTAAATTTTTAATGTATTTAGATTAAATTTGAAGAATATGAATGGATTTGCTTGATTTATGAATGGTTTGGCATCGATTTGGTAGTAATTGACTTTGAATAATAAATAACGGTGCCGGTGTGTAGAAAATGAATGAATTTTTCTACTACGAAAAAAATAAACAAGAAAAAAGTGTTTTCAACTTAAATAAAAATGCAATTTTTTGAAGAGTCATACCCATCGTGTAGATAGATGATAAACGCCCAATCGATTTCACACAATATTTTTATTAGTCAATAAAACGTTTGCATCAAACTAACAAAGAAGTCGTGCTTGAAAAAAATCAACATATTTACCGAATTGTCGAAAAAAAGACCGTCGATTTTTCTCTCTTTCGTTCGGCCAATTAAATGCTTGAATAAATGTTTTCGATGCAACGTCACGTCGATTAAGTCAGACGATGAAAAACACTTTGAAAATGCAAATACATCTTCGATTTCTCAATTGTGTCGAACGAGCCAATTGGTGAGAAAAATGTGTATAAACTGACAATTCGACAAATGTCGGCAATGTTGAAGAGACAAAAATCATGCAAAGAAGAAAGACAAACAATTTCATGAGAATGTAATTAACTTTAATTGAGATCGAAATATTGCTTGCGGCTACATACTCAACGTACATATTCAATTATTTTGCCTGACCACACTTCAAATTCAAACGTCGTCACCACACACATGCACACAAAAAAAAACACAAACCGTGACTCATTAAACGACTGATTGATTCGAGAGACTTTTTTTGCGTTGGTTTGGTCGCAACAGTTCTTTGACAGAGGAAAAAAATTGTTTTCAAAGCATCTCGAAAAATCAACATAAAACCAACGAAATAAAGTGTCCACGAATGAAACGACTTAACCGACAAATGATCATTAGCATAATCAAAGCAAATTACCTATTTCATTGTCTCTCGTTTTTATAATGGCCCAATCTCACATGTGTCTCATGTCAGAGAGAGCTATGAGAATGTGTCACAGATTACGATCGGCATTGGCTATTGTTTAATTACATATATACCCCCGGCTAGCAATGGCACATAGAGCCTTTGAGAATGAAGCGAAATAAAAAGGAATGAAAAATGCAACAAATTTAAAAAAAAAACAGTATGCCACCATTGATTCGAATCCAAGTTAATTATGGTCAATTCAATAAAAACAGGAAGAATTGAATTTAAGTCACATTGTCATCGTATCGAGTTATTGTTGTAGACAATTTAATTGTCGGTCAATATGTAACGCATGTCTTGAAATTTGCACACAAAAAAAAAACTTTTGTCTTGGCTGACATCGGTAAATTCGAAAAGGTAATCGCTTTGGACCAAAGGAGATCCGTAAATGTCAAATAAAGGCCTTAAGTTCATACAATAAAAAAAATCACAGAGACAATGGTTCAAACGGCCAATGATTTCAATTGTGCAAACAAGTCGTGCATCAAATGACCTTCAATATATAATTCGAACACACTGTAAATCACACTCTCATCAAAATAATGTGTATGTCGTTTGACAACTACATGTAAACAAACGCCGAAAATGTGTTTTTATTATTTCAAACTTCATCATGAGAGCCACATCGAACCGTGTTTTAAATCAACAGATAAATGAATAGATGTTTTTTTCTTCATTACTTTGAAATAACAATTTGGAGTTGATTCAGCAAAAAAAAGCGAACGAAATGAAGTTCAATCAAATAAAGCGACCAAAATGAATGACGTGGTATTTTTCCACCGTTTAACTTAAGGTAATCGCGCGCGCGAAAAAAATCAGTCCGCGACATTTAAGGCATCAACTCTTTGTGTTATTTTTTTTCGAACTCAATATCATCGTTGACAACGATTTAAAGCAACGAAATTTCAAATAAAGTCACTTGAAATGCTGGTACACCAATTTATTCATTAGGAAATGTATGTGTATGTGTCGCTTGATCATCTTTTTTATCTGCTTTAATAGTCGATCGCATCGAATTCAACACATTCAAATGGCGTTTTATTGTAAACATTTACTTTGATTTTCCGCTGAATTCCTCTGCGATCAGATCACTTTGACAGTTTTTGTTAACCGGATCGAATTCTCACCTGCGGGCAAGAGGACAAATACGAATAAAATGAAACGAATATGAATGACGTGCTTTGAATAGGAATCGAATTGCGGAAGAAATAAAATGGCTTGAAATTATTTGGTCAAAGAAAATACACTGAAGGCTATTCGTATTAATAACATCAACTATGACAATACACTTTTCAACGCTAAAATCGGTATATTTCTTTGAATCACACGCATGATTGACATACTCGTACAAACAAAATACAAGAGAAAAAAAAAAGAAATCGTTTAAATTTTCATTGTCACTCAACTCTCGGTCTCTCTTCATGAGCACTTCAAATTTATGAAGTACACGAGACCGTCATCGTCGTTGCCGTTGTCATAAAAATCGAATACATTTAATAAATAATGAAGGAAAAAAAGCAAACGACGAAGAAATCCATTTGAAATGACGGCATATTTATAAGAGAATTTTATACGCTTTTGTGCGTGATTGCACGGCATCACATCGAATGTCACATCTTTAGTCTGCGTCATCGACTTTAAAAGCATCTCGGCATCTTCTTCTCGTTGTCGCATATGTGTTCATCATTTTGATTTCTCGCGGTATTTTCTTTAATGATCAAAATGGAGGATGACATGGAAATTACGGCCAAACTGCTATTATTCATATTGGAATGGCAATTGAAAGCGAATCAAAGAAAAAATGCGCCGAAAAAAAAAACTTGTGTAGAAATCAATTTCAATCGATTGAAGCTTTTTCTGTGATAATAATGACGATTTTCACCTATAATTTGAAAAATATTTCCATGTCGCGCCCATTTTATACAAAGAAACTGCGCGTTTTTGTTTAGTTTCACCACACGGTCATTGTCCATGCTCGAAGCAATAATTGTCCAATTGCATCGCTTAGGCTGAAGCTTAAGTGACATAATTTAAATTTTAACGGATTTTCAGCTATACCTTTTCATTGGCTCCAAAAGAAAGCATAACTTATAATAACATAATTGCAATCAAATTAAAACTATTCGAAGAAAGAATGTCGCGTACGTCCAATGTAAGTTCAAGAACATTAAATTTTTGGGCGCTATTAATGACCTTCATTTTTTTCCTATAAAATGTCCAATTTTCATGCGTATGTCGTTGCTTAGATGTCGATCGAATTGAGCGTCAGTTGATGGGAATTTGTTTGTAAATTGCCTTATTTGCCTCTTCAAAATTCCATCAAACGTCGTCATCATTGTTTCTAACAAATTAATTATAGTCGCATTTAATTTTTCCGATTAAACCATTGAAGAACCTTTTTATTCGTTCATCATCATATTCTATTGTTTGTTTCTGGATCTAATTCTTGCTGTGATGATGATCGTTTATATTGTTTTTAGTTTTCAATTTTGTACACATGTTACTCAATTTCAACGTTTTTTTTTTCTTTGTGAAATGAGAGACTTCAAAGTGCCCCGTTTGTCATATTATGCGTATCTTCTGGTTCTGGATGAAATCAAGTCGTTCAATGTTGCTCTTTAGCATTGTATTTTCTTCCTTTGGTGTTATTTCTATGTTTCGTTATTCGTACTGTCATTCAATGTTTGTTAGAAAATCGTTGGAAAACGAAGACGAAGAATGAAGTCATGAAATCATTTTAATTTATACTTTTAAACATATGATTGATGTCCGTATAGTTTGACACTCAATGAAATATTTCGTGAAATTACATGGGGCAAAAAAAAATATTATCGAATCGTTGAGGTCTTTGCAATATGTATATGACATCAGAACG